CGTTGTCCAAAGTCTTTTTCTTCTAGATTATGTTATACACGTAATCAGGAAGTCAAATATTGAATATCAAAGGCACATTTATATGAAATATGTTCCACACTTTTGGTGTAACGGTGTGAAGGGTAATGTGGTTTATCATTCAACTTCAGTTGTTTGTTAAAGCACATCTATTCCTAACGAGTTAATTTAAACGGAAGCTCCATAACAATATTAATATTTCAATAGGAAACTCAGATTCGTTCCTATTCTCAACCCCCAAATGTTGGCTTTCCATTCTCACACTAATTGTTTTATCCGGTGTTTGTTATAAACGATGAAGACGTGCTTGTGTTATTTTACGTAAGTGCTACACCTGATTTCCATTTAGACGTACTTGTAGGTAATGATAAATGGCTTTTACGTGGAGCCGAGCGTTTACCAAAATACATAATTCACACTCTCACTGAACTGTAAAATTAGTAGGCTTAGCGTGTCGAAATGAATATCAGTGATTTTATTCTCCAGAGTGAAAGAGGGAATTACTTCAACGCCCAGCGCTTCTAAGTAGACTGAAGCACAATTCAGAAGGAAGACAGGGACGTTCTCAACTGGAGGATATATTAGCTTTCAGGCCTGATGGAGCGTGGTTTCAACCGCAAGTGGGCGATATTTCTAAATCAATTTCAAGGAGCACCGACGCTTGCTGATAGAGTAGATTTCCGGTGCGTAGCTGTAAGCTCATCATTCATTGGTCCTCACTTGCAAGAAAAAAATATATCTTCACTGTAGCCCTTTACTGAGTATTAGAAAGCAAACTTGAGCAGCGAGGCATAACTACCTGATTTATGTGCAAGAAAAACTAAATGCAGCAAAGCAACGTTACAGACGTCTGCTGGTTAAAACAAGGATAAGTTAATCAATGCATATGGGTTGTCCAGTGAAACGTGTTTTTTTTAAGATTCTTTTTTAAGTAGATCAATAAGATTTTATGCCTGCTCTGACGCCACATGAATATTTATTTCTTGTCTAATATGATTTTTTGTTTGCTTGTTGTTAAGCGCAAAGCTACAAGATAGGCTATCTGGACTTTGCCCACCTTGGGATCGAAATCCGATTTTTAGTGTTACAAGCCCCCAGACTTTCCGCTGAGCTTCCGGGGGGAGGGATATGAATTTTTGGCACAATTTTTCCTTTTCATAGCTTAGGCTTAGTTTTGACAGAAACCTACTCGACTGTTTATATTCTATACTTTTCTGTAATGGGTTAGAATTCTAATCCATACATATAATGGGTTAATCCAATCCGTTCTGATAATGGGTAAGAAATGTGATCCATACAGGCAACTGGTAAAAATCCTAGTACGTATAGATAACGGGTTAGAATCCAATCCGTGCTGATAATGGGTTAGAAATCTAATCAGTGCTGGTAATGGGTGAAAATCCTAGTACGTATAGATAAGGGGTTAGAAATCTAATCCGTGCTGGTAATGGGTGAAAATCCTAGTACGTATAGATAAGGGGTTAGAATCCAGTTCGTGCTCGTGTTGGTTATAATTCCAATTCATGCAAATAATGGGTGAAAATCCAATCCGTGCAGGAAGTGGATGAGAATCTTAGTTCGTACAGATAACGGATTAGAATCCAATCTGTGCTGATGTTGGTTAGGATTCCAATTCGTGCAGATAATAAACTAAGATTGTAATCTGTGCAGATAATAAACTAAGATTGTAATCTGTGCAGATAATAAACTAAGATTGTAATCTGTGCAGATAATCGGCGAGAATACTCGTCTCTACCGGTAATGAGTTAGTATCCAATCCGTGCTGTCAATGGGTTAGAATTCCAATCCTGACAGGTAATGAGTGAGAAACCTAGTTCGGACAGATAACAGGTCAGAATCCAGTCCGTGCAGATAATGAGCTAGAATCCCAATCCGTGTAGGTGATGGGCTAGAGTTTCCAATCCTTGCGTGTAGTGAGTGAGAATCCTAGTTCGCACAGATAATAGGTTAGAATTCCAATCCGTGCAGATAATGGGTTAGAAACGCGATACATTCAAACAAAATTTTCCGAAATGCATAACCAGTTCATTAAACACACTTATAACAGTTATTAAATTTGTTTTCAAGTTAGCTGTTTCATATTTGACCTATAAAGTTTTGGAATCTCTAAGAGAAGTGACGTTTAACACTATAATTATTCAGAGGGTCCATTTTCTCAACTATTTTTGCTTCTGGGTGTATTACTTTTTTGGCTAACATTTGAAAACAAAAATACCATCATTAATTCAACTAATTACTGCTGGGACCCCTGTGTGTTATGCATAGAAAATTAAAGATTTTACCCACTTTTTCGGTTTTTTCTTCTTAGTCTGTGTTGTAACAAGCAAAAGCATAAAATTGCTCAAAAAAGCCAATATGTAAATCCAACAAATAGTGAACAATATTAAAACTAATCCAAAATTTTAAGGTAAAAACGAAAAAATAGCGGAAGATTGGTTCACATAGAGTATGAAATCCAGAGTTTCGAAAAGTTGTACCTTAAGTCATGTTTCAAACGTTTTTATTTTAGAGTATACACCCTGTAACAGAACCTATGAGTTAGCTAATGCAATAGACAATGACGTCATAAAATCAGAAATTTTCTAAGGTTGTAGTAAAAAAACGCTTTTTTATATTTCAGTACTCTAAAGTTTGAGTCATTTCGAGATCCCATTCCATTCCAATGTGTATTTTCTGGTGCGTATTTCATAATAGTAGTCATACGATACGATCTAGATATTGATACCGCGATACGATACCTATCTAGATACAGAAGTTTTACTGACGGTTTGTTACAAAGTTTGACAGACTTGTCTGTAATTTATTATCTGTATTACTAGCATCAAGTACTTATTTAAGTACTTCACACTTTACAGTGCTCTTTCAGATTCTCAGGTTTGATCAACTAAATGGCAGCTGGCAAGAGAAGTAAAATAATAAAAGTTGATATCCGTCTATCTATTTTGTTATTGTTAATTTGTTATGTTACTTTACATGTAATGTTTTTGATAACAGAAATGAAGACAACATGTAGTACTCAATGCTCATCTTTATTTACTGAATCATTAATTTTTAACAAAAATACTTTATTAGAAATTCTGATTTTTTCTGTGCAAAAGAGTTATAATTTTACTGAAAGCTTGCCAAATTTCGTGAAGATGCATAAATCGTATCGTATCGAACAACGTATCGATACAATCGTATTACGGCTTCACGTATCGTATCGCTGTATCGCCACACCTTTAATATCTTCATACACCAAATTTGGCAAAAGTTCCTGAAATTTAATTGGCACACAATATGAAGACCAATCACCTAGTCGGTCTCTTTTTACCCTTTTTAGGCCGTCGATATGTTGGCTATCAAGTAAAGATAGAACCAGTGATATCTTAACACTTACTGACATGAAGTCCCATAAGAAGAAGGTACCACTTATAATTTTAACACTAGAATTATCGGTAGGTCCATATGGCCCCATATTAAACCCATTATTTAAAGCTACCTATGCTCCCAATTGCTTGTGGGCCCATGACTTTGTTGGTTACAGGTTCCCTGAAAATAATTGAGTCACTCAAATGAAAAATGTAAGGAAGAATGTCATCAATGTTTTAATTAATTGCACTAACTCCTGGGGTCCTTTACGTATTTTACGTAGAAAAATAATGTCACCCTGTTTCGTACTTAAGATTTTTGTTTTATAAGTGTTATTTTATCTATTGCGTCAGTTATTTTACCCACTAAATGGGATATTTTACCGTATACACACATTATACTGTGTTATTTGTGCTGTTATTTTACTAATTTGATGCGAGCTGTATTATTTTACAACACCAAGTGAGTTGTGTTATTTTACCTGTACTGCGTGATCTGCTATATTTACCTGTGGTTTGTGTTATTATTTTACTTATATTGTACGAGTTGTTTTTTGTACCTGTTCTGGGTATTTTGTGTTATTTTATCAATAGTAATTTGTGGTATGTTACTAATACTGAATTGTGTTATTTGACCATTACTGTGTCAGCTGTATTATTTGACCAGTACCAAGTAAGTTATGAACTATGTTATCTTACCAGTACCAAGTAAGTTAAGAACTATGTTA